CCCCCACAACCCCCGCCCCCACAACTCCCGCCCCGAATACCCCCGCCCCGACCACCCCTGCACCAACAACCCCTGCGCCGACCACTCCTGCCCCGACCACCCCTGCTCCTACGCCGTCGGTTCCGGCCGGCTTTTGTTCCATCAACGGCGTCACGGTGGACGGCGTCTGCCAGCAGAACTGCGGCCAGGGGACCAGCGGCTGCAACTGCTTCGACCTGGAAGTCGTGCTCGGGTTGTGCGTCCCGTGCGCGGGGGGGGTTATCGGGGCGGAGATCAACGCACAGTGCGTGGTGAACGGGTCGCCACAGGGAAGTAATCTCTTCTCCGCGGGGACGACTTTTTGCCTGGCCGACGGAAATGGGCAGCCCACGACGACGCCGTGCGATCTGAACCCCACTTGTAACAACGCGGGGGGGCAGCAGTGCTTCGCTAGTGGGGGGCAGAAGTGCTGCCATTTTTAGGGAGGGGATAAGGTGGTCCGTCTGAAGGGGGATAAAAAAGCTGAAGCCAATAAGGGGGGAGACTACCGTTAACCAACCTCGGTCAGGCTTCGGTTAGATGCCCTTCTGCTAGACGAAGTGGTCATGAGCAAGTTAGGTAACCAGTTTTGCAGCGTGCAGTGAGGCCAGTGTAGAAGAGAGGGTAGGGTAACCGGGAACGTCTAGCTGTGTGATAATAAAGAGAAAGCGTAGGAGAAGAAAACTCAAAAAACCAAGGCACGGAACCCTTTCCAGGTTGTTACAACGTTCCGGGAGATTGGGGCCGTTGCCAGTCTTTGTGTAGTATCAGGTCAGTCTTTGTGTAGTATCAGGTCAACCTTCGGCTTAGGAGTCTGTTTTGAGAACTAGCTTCGCAACCTCAACTCCCCGTTGAGATCGGTGTAGGCGATGTGAGTTTAGACACTAGCTTCGACTTGCTTCAGATCGAAGCAAGAGGTGACAGAAATAAGGCCTAGGCTTTGGATTAGTACCATCGAATCGCCAGTACAGCAAAAGTTTGTCCCGTCGCTTGCACGAGGCTGCGCACTTCAGATGTCTCTTAGTTTTGGGCAGGACTTAGGTGGCGAGCTAGAGAGCGTAGGATCAGCAGATCAGTGATAGGGACTAGAGAACACTCACTCTCAAGTAGGGAAGGAAGAAAGGAACGGGCAGTTACAGCAAACCGGCCAGAATAAGCGGTAGTAACTGACTCCGAGTCTAGCTAGGCGAATAAGACGGCATGTCGGGCAACGCCCGGTGCCCAGTAGGTCCACTGTAACATAACAATCTGCAAATATTCTGAAGTCTACAATATGGGACCAGACGACCTTATGCACGGCGCGATTCCGCTCATGTGCATGTGATACTGCCAGTGTTCCTCAAATGAATCAATTCTTGGTGTATATCGACCGCCCACTGATTGCTGTCATGTTACCATATCTCGCGCCGTTAATGATCTCATCATGCCGGCTAGGCGGGATACAGCCGGCTAGATGACTAGGCAGCACCGTGCACACGTCAGCTTAGTAATTGTGACGCATCAATTTGCGACCCTGACAACCAAACGCAGGCTATATTCCATCTTGACCGTCAGCTTTCGGCGTTGTCGGACTCCATGCAATGCCCGGGGCCCTATGTGCTTTCGAAAATTCATGGGACACATAGCTATTGAGCGTCCACCGAGTCCATTCGAATGCCTAATCGGATTATAAAAAACTCAGCTAGCGCAATTTGTCTCATGCATAATGGATGATATGAGTAGCTAGTGAATGTTAAAGACCACCCATGCGCGTGGCGATAAATATGGACCCGGGGCCCATGCTCTGCGCGCATCCGGATCAATCTCTCGCAACAGATCATGGGAATGTAAGCGCCCCAGTCTGCCCATGCTCTGCGCCTCAGTCGCTCGCCAAGGAACGCGGGTCTAATATACAAACATCAGTTTCAAAATCAAGGCTTTGGCAAACTCACTTCAGGACGGGTTCGTGCTTTGTTTTATGAAACGCTGCGTCTCCGCTGAGTACCCTCGAAACGAAGTCTTCCACGCCAGCCGGATCTGCTTTACCGATATAAGAGGCGTACCGTTGCCTTTTCGGTTTGTAAGCTAAGACCAAAATCTCAGACTTCGGTACTCCTTTCGCAGCTCGCGCCTCTGGGAACGCCGTCAAGAAGCCGGGCTGTGCTTTCTCGTCAAGTAGAGCGAAGCCGAGCGAAGAAGCGCCCGCCCTTCGTCCGGACTGAATATTCCGCGCAACCTGCGAGAGCAACAAACCGGATATCAGAAAGTTGCTTCTTCAGCACGTACCGGTCTCGAACAGGCCACTTGAATCAGATTTCACTTTAGGCCAGAGAAATACTTAAGGGCAAAGTTGGATAGGACCACCTTAACGCGTCTCTTGTCTGCGATAATGCTAAGTAATGATCCACCGAAGCTGGGGAACACGTCAAAGCTGCCCGCTGTGACTTCTCCCAACCATAGCATGGACCGAGTAGTGAAGAACAGGGCCAGTGCAGACTGGTCCTTTCAAACCATCTACAGTGGATGAGGTTGAAATGATACACCCGCTTTTCTGTTACTTAGAACCACGAGTCTACAAGCTTCCGACAACCAATACCAAGGCACCGATGGCGCATTGTCAGCCGAGTGCTTTAAAACTCGTGCGCCGTTCAACCGAGACTCTCACCTCTGCCAAAAGCTCCCGCCCTACTTTCTCCTTCCCCCTCGGCACCACCGCGATCACGCACACCGGCACGTCCCCCCCGCAGACCGCCCCCCGCGTCACCTTGTTCAGAACCGGGACCGCGCTCAGCCCGCTCTTCTGCTGCGCGTCGGCCTTCTTCTGAAGCTCGGCCATCCACTTGGAAATTGCGGACACTTTTTTGGTGTCGCCGGTGAACGGAACGAGGTCCCCGCTCGGGAGGAGTCCGACGATTGAAGGAATCTTGCGGACGCTGAAGCGCGCGGCGAGCTCGGACTGTCCGGCGTCGTCGACCTGCCGGGTTGGGATAAAGCTATTCATTTACTGAAAATGCACAATATTGGACGGATGCTCGTCTTATAATTCTAAAAAGGGCTTCTACAAACGCTAAGATCTGAGGAACATCATACTCAGTACTGAATCCGCACAGTATCTGACGGATGCCCATCTGTGGAATAATGAACATGCTTCTGACAAACCCTGTATACTCAGATGGAACATTCGCCTTCAAAGTCCCTTGCCTAAGACACAATTATACATTCAAATGCCTGTCCCTCTGTCCCTGCGTTTTCGTGTGTCCCCACCCCTTCTCTCGTGTTTCTACACACTGTGCCATTTCGGTTGACCATGCTCCCTGACAGGGCTTCTTTTGGTTGGCAGCCAAAACGCACCTCATATGCGGCTTCACCTTTCGAGATAAGAAGGGTCACGAAGGACAACTAAGCTGAACCTTCAGCGATAGATAGCCCGAGAAAGCCCGTCGACTTGTCCAATAGTTCTTGATGCAAAAATTGCACAACAGCGCATGCTTGGAAGGTTTCCGGATTGAAAAACGCCGCTTCTCGGCACGAACTCCATGTCAATCCCAACGTTCACTTCCAAGCACTTTGTGAAATGACGTGCATGATTAGCTCCCCGTATTCTGTAGAGGAATCAAAAAGCACCGTCAATTTGACGTGGGACAGAATAGGCCTTCAGGCGGGAGCTTACCTGAATCTCAAACAGGACGACGCGGTCCAGGAAGCGCCCACTCAGAGTGCGCCACATGGCGGGCGTGGAGGCCTTCTTCGTGAAAAGCACCGCCCGGGGGAGGTTGGGGGACCGACCGAACCGCCGCTCGAAGCTGCAATCGGAGAGAGATCTTGACTAATATTCTTTCGCATCACACAAGCTTTTGGCCCTTACCCACGGATGGTTAGGAGCTGGTCAAGAAGTGGTTAACTGTCCAATAACCGGACTCCGGCGGTAACCAGCCTTGAAAAAGGGTTAAGCACCGGTTGCTTTCCAACAAACGGAGACTCAGGGGATCAGCCTGATTAGCAGCCAGAAGTTTCTGTGCATGCCAACTGACCAGGCTATCTGCCACTCTTGTAAGCATACGCTTGTCGTAGCCAGAACGTCTCGCACAGGAAAGCAGATTTTTCGACCACTATATGACAATGGCCACCGCAGTCTTCCGTGATCATAGGCCCGCCGAATCTAGATTTACCTTAACGACACTGGAATCATTTCGACGCCAGAGACCTCAGTGGCATCTTCGGGGAAACTGCTCGCTGAAATGCGTCCAGCTTGCGTATCTGGGTAACAATAGTAACCACCACAAGCGCTACCTTAGCCTTCGCGCTGCTTCACAACACCTCGGTACATCCACCCTTACACAATATAACGATATGGCTCCTCTTCTTTGTGACTACCTTACAGATATCAGGCTAAAAAAGAACAGGCACCCTGACCCGCGACTGACGCACCTCGCACCAAAGACCAGTAATCTGCTCTCGTCCAAATCAACCAAATGCGTTTCACCAGCGCATTCCGCCTCAGTGAGCTCCGACATCTCTCTTCACAACCTCAATGAGACTCGTTGGTTCAAACGGACCCACGCAAATCCCTGCCACTTTCACTCACTTGCTCTCATCCAGCTTGATCGAGTGGTTTGGAATGTTGGCCACCGCAAATTTCTTGATCGCCGCCCCGGTCGGCTCCCCCGTGAAGACCGTCCCCGCCTTCTTCCCCGGCTGGTAGAAGTGCACGGTGGGCACGTGACCGACGTCACGCTCCTGGCAGAGCGCGCGTTCCGCCTGGCAGTCGACGACGCCGAACTTGACGAGGCCGTCTAACTCCTTCGCGGTGCGCTCGAGCTCGGGCTTTAGCGCCGCGCTCTCTTGGCCTGTGGGAACGTGACGTAAGTTATGTAACATAAGGGTGCGCGTCGACCAAAAACCCTACATGGCCTCCAGTGTTGCCTCTGCAGTACCGACAGGAGGGAGGTACGGTACTCTTCAGGCTCAAATAGTCCTCTGGTATGTACCTCTGTGTACCGGACAACATGTTGGCTTCAAGCTCAGAAGAAAGTCTGGAAAGCTTTTTGCAGCTTTTCGGTCGACGTGAACCCTCACGTAATGTAATCGGTATTGAATCCGACTATGAAAGGGTGCAAGATCTTTGATAAAAAAGGACTGAAGTGGTTAATAGGGTGTTAAGGTCAATTACAAGGCCGTCGAAGTCCTTGGCGGCGCGCTCCAGCTCGGGCTTCACTGCGGCGCTTTCCTGGCCTGTGGGAACGTCGGAAACCTTGCTTACCGATAGACAGCTCTGAGAGACTAGCAAAGTCTGCTTTGATGATGCATCAAATGATGCTTTCTTCCTTTTCTGTATGGCGAAGCACACTAAGAGTGCTTTGGAGAGAAGCTGAAGACTCCAGATAAGAAAGGAACGATGATGAATCCGAGGTGTCGTGGATCATTGACTAGGCCATCCAACTCCTTGGCGGCGTTCATTGGGCGTTTCTCGGCCTTCACTGCGGTGCTCTCTTGACCTCTGGGAGTGCCGCAATGATTACGGAGTCGATACACAATTCAAGTTGAGATACTGTGAAAGAGTGCATCGTACGGATGATTTCGAGATTGACTGCGTCTGTTTGACGACTCCAATATTATTGCTGGCGCGCTCCAGCTCAGTCTTTACTGCGGCGCTCTCTTGAGCTGTGGAAACGACAAATCATGTAATCAGGACACACTTTGAGTGCAACACACTGGAGAATTTCAGATAGGAGGTTGACCAAAAAGGAATCTGGGGTGTCTCGGATTGGCGACGAGGCCCATTCAGTCCTTGGCGGCGCGTTCCGCCCCGGCTTCGCTGCGGCACTTTCGTGGCCTGTGGGAACGTCTGAAGGCTGGAATTAGCTTCCTTGACGTCCACGCTGTTTTCGATGAAGCCCAAATGCTTTCGTGAAGTGCACATGTCCTATAAGGAGGTTCTGATAGACGGCGTAAGCCTCCCTCGAGTTGACACTGAGGTATCATGGTGGTGAACCGGAGCGAAATGCGATTCGTTTCAAGGTATCCAAACCAACATAAGTGGCGTCACTCACTCTGCGGCAGGTAGAACAACACAACCCACATCTCGTTCTCGGGCCCCTGGACTTTGTCCGCAAACGTCGCTCCGGTGAGCTTCTCCACGTGCTTGAGCGAGTCCCACGTGTTTCCCCGTTGCTGGCCCCCGCCAAAACCGCCACCGCCAAAACCGCCGAACAAGCTGGCGTGCACAAGGACGCCACGTGCTAAGGATCACTCAAGAATCGTTTCTTGCACAAGGAGTTCTTTAACAAGCAACCCTTCCTGCCAGGCAGAATTGTTCATCACTTTTCTTATCTGTCTCTTACTGCTACTTAAGGGGCACCGTTCGACTTCACAAAGCGATGATCTAATGCACGTTAATGCTCATGGCAGACACAAACATAGAGTTGATGCAGTGTAGCTTCGAGTGCCGGTAAAACGACAGTATTTCCACTTCGTGGAACGTCATTCCTCAACACAACATGCTGCTCAGATCCAATAACAGCGCACAAGCTGTGTATTGAACATAAACCAGGGAGACCACTCGCGAATCCTTGGCAACTTGACGTCCTGCCTCATTATTATAAGCATTGAGTGTCGTTGAGTCGGGCAGCCACAGTCTGCTCTATCGTGCTTACGCACAAGAAAATCGCCTGAGAGTATGCTAAGCAGCGTTTGCATTTTATAACGTAAGAAAGACTCACTTCTCAAACATGCCTCCACCTCCGCCGCCGCCCCTCCCAGCACTGGCGCCACCTCCTCCGAACCCGAACGAAGATCCTTGCTTCCCCCGAGACGCCTGCCCGAAAATGGTGCTGAAAATATCTCCGAGATCGGGACCCCCTGGACACAAGTTTTGACAGATTTAGTCTCCAAAACATTGAAGTCAAGGGATGTTTTCGGAAGGCATTGAGACTGTCTCCAACGAGAAAGAAACAGAGAGGCGATTGTTCACTGCAAGACGGTACAAAGGAGAACCTCAAACAGAAGGGCAAAAACCAATCATTACTTTCCTTATTTGTCCTCTGGGACTCCCTACATGGAAACGGTTCCTTTTGCTTCAACATTCCCTTAGCCTGGCAGGCAAATGTCAGATGCTGTTGAGACATCGCTGATGTTCTGAAAGAGTCTATGATTCTGAGACAGAGTATGACCGACGCAACAAGAGTGGTCCAGAAAGTTATGAAAGAAAAAGGCTCAGTTAAACGTCAGATTCCACCAGCACCTTCAGAATGTGTTAGCTCTAGGACATCTCAAGAGCGCCGATGTGGAGCTCAGCTTGCAACAAGGCTAAGTTCAGAAACAACTGACAATGAACCTCTGGACTGAGGCTTAAAGAATCTTCCTCACAAAAGTGTCAACTCACCGCCCCCACTTTGGAACGTGTACTGGGTACGTCCTCCCCCTGGAAAACCTCCCCCATGGAACCCTGCGCCTGGCTGGGCATGCGCTCCTTGAGCTGCCCCCCCACTCAAACCTTCTTCACCGTACTGGTCGTAGATCTGACGCTTCTTCTCGTCGGACAATGTGTCGTACGCAGCGCTGATGTCAGTGAACTTCTTTGCGGCCTTCTCGTTCCCAGGGTTCTTATCTAGAGGGGGACGGATAAGTTTCAGCATACAAATGCACATTCAAGAAAGACGGGGTCCTGCTGAAGCATATGGTCGGAATGGAGCGATCGCCATATGCGTTGCTCTTTGTTTGGTGGCTGGGATCCAGAGGGCTTCCTCAGCAGTCATGCTCGGTCTACTGGAAGGCATTGCAATATGACCTTAGGCCTCTTGACTTTTATCAGATTCTTTTCAGTAGAAAGCTAGCGCATCCTTTCTTGTTGCTGTCTGCATGGTACAAGCCGACGGCTGTCTCAATCCATACCCCCTTCTTCTTCCTCACTAGCAAGGCAAAATCTGATTCTTTTTCTTTGCGCTTCTTCTTGCTAGATGGAGCACTCCTGAAAGCTGGGGTTTGCAATCAAAGCTAGATCTTGGCCGCACCTTCAAAGCCTTCATATGTGAATTAGCCATATGTCACCATTGCAGTGCAGTGCAAGGTACAAAAAGACTTTTCTACACAGGTTGAGACAAGACCACAAGCTTGACAAAGAGACATGCTTCAAGGCATCTTACCTGGATGATACCTGCAAAGAAGCAGAATTCATTGTGAGAACCATGGGCATCTCATTACGATCTCTGCCCATTCGCCATGTGATCTGAGTCTTGTCTTCTAAAGCAGCCTTTGCAACATACAGCATTCATGAAGGCATGGAGGTCAAGTGTGATGGAGATTACGGTATCACGACACTGAAAGCGCACCTCCCAGATATGAAGGTACCAGATGCTTGCCCCAACAGCTAGCCCCTTTGATATCCTTGTAAGAGTTGTCAACAACCTCGTTCAGGAAAGAGCTTTTGCGATCCTCATGGTCACCCTCCCCTACAGCAATGTACCCATTTGAATGCAGAAATACTTTCTATAAAGATAGCAAATGAGAGGCTTGAGAGGGGAAGAAAGGTACTTAATACCACCATTTGCAGTGTACTCACTTTAATGAAAGCTTGTGAAAGGCCTTTTTGATGTCGCGCTGACTTGCGCTCTTGTCAACTCCAAGGGTCTTGTAATGATCTGGCCCTGCATAAGTGATTGCGAAAAGTGCCAAAAGCAGCAGCCCAAGAAGCTGCAATCTGCAAGTTCTGCATTTGCAGCAGACAGAGTGAAGGAAACTCTTGCTGAGACCTTGTGTCATCCCGTCACGCACTGCCATGCCTTAAGGCATCCAGCACAATGCTGCTAAAACCACACCGTTTTGCAACTTTTTAGAATCATAAGAAACCTGTCCTCCTGTTTAGGATTAGACACCAGTCAACCCGTAAACTGGCTCTGCTGTAGGTAAGTGCAGCTCTGTGTGGCAGGCTCACTACAGAAAACTTCTGCCCTTCTTTCAAAGCAATGGCGCTTCTGGAGCTTGCATGTAAAACTAATAGTAAGACTCTTTTGAGAGGGAACCTGATGCAATGCAAGCGATTAGGTATACCGTAGTGGCACGGACAATTCGCGCCAGGCTCTTACGAAAATTATTTATTTCCGTTTCTTGGTTTCGCACCAGGGTTACGAGGAATATTTTCTTTTCGCACCAGCCAAAATTTACAGTGTTTTAGGCCTGTTTTGTGGTGTTTTCAGCCTTCATCTGATTTATTTTGTTTTCGCACTTTCGCACCAAGGTCAAAATAATTTCCGGAAATTTTCGCACTAAGGCCTGACGTATTAAGTATTTTTGGTGCGAATTGTCCGTGCCACTACGGTACTCCACCTGCTCGTTGGATTTACGTCTTCAATTCAAGGACATGAGGTCATGATCCTGAATGGCAGAGGGAACTTCATCGAACGGTGCAACATCCAGTCAAAGACGTCACCATGCAGATATCAACGATCAAGAAGGTTGTCTCTCCGTACAGCAGCTCAACACCACACTACTCGTCCTCGAAGAAAGCTGCTCAACATGAAACCTTGCAAGTTGTGGAGAACTTGTTGGAGGAGGCGCACAATGCGAATGCCAATGTGAGGGCGTCTGAGGGCGTCTTTATCAAGGCACCACAGCTACTCGGATCCTCGAGCACCGTCGTGAGTCTTCAATCACCTATGAGCCGGGGGTCTGATTATTTAAAAAGATACTTAGTCTCCTTGACCGAGCGAGGGGAGGACAAGCGTCTCAAAAGGAATGCGGGGGCGTGTACATAAGGTTTTGATCAGGATGGAGAAGATGGACAGAGTGGTGGCAAAGATGGTAGAGACGCCCTCGCCACAGCGGATGCAGGTGAGACCGCCACCTCATCTTGCTGATGTGCCCAACTTTGTACCACCATTTGGGAAAAGGTTGACTACAGGCCCCTCTTTCGTCACCTCCTTTCGGGTCAAGTGGCAAGACGCTTTTTTCCTCACTTAAAGGTTTTGAGCAGCAAGAATATGAACAGAGCCTCAAGGCCTTGAGGTGCTGTTGCCCACCGAACTATGAGTTCCACTCACATTCTTAATTGAGAAGAGCTTCCTGTTTTCAAATGTTCAAAGGTCTTTTTACATTCAGAAGCCCCTTTGATCAGCATGTGCATTGGTTTGAGCATAAAGTTCTTTGTTGGTGGCAGGGTATGCCAACTTATTGTGGACTTGTGCAGCCTCTCTGGGCCTCTTTCCCAGTTGCCCGAAGACGTTCCCACAACCCCGTCATAGTTGCAACTTAATGTAATGATTGTTCCACTGGAGTCTCCTCATAGTATTTGCTCTGCTCTGCAGAGGTTCTACTCTGCGCTGAAAGTTACTGGCATTGGTGAGGGACTGGTGGTCAGGGACGTGGGGGAGGGCAAAGGCAAAGGTAAATGGATGCTTCAATCACCTCCAAGATGTACCTTGAAGCAAACCTCTACATGCTTGACACCAGTCATTGCCGCCATAGGAAGCGATTTCTCTCAAGCAAAGTAGTTCGTCTCATTTGTCACCTCCTGCACTTAGAGACGTCCACATATATCGGCAGGCGCGTGTTTGTCCTGCAGGTATCTTTGCAAGCAAGACCTTTGAGGAGGGAGACCCTGTGCTGATTGAGCCACCGCTTGTGGCTGCTCAGGACACGGCGAACAAGGTAAAGGATCCATATGATGAGGCTTCAGTCTATCTCAAGCGACAGTCTTCCATGAGGTTTGTGCGTCCTGTTTCAGGGGGCACATGGGGTCTACTTTGCATCACTTGACTCAGGCGCCAGATTGTGTCCATGACAGTTGATCCCTCCTTTTGATTGATTGCGTGTCATCTGATGACCCCCCCCAGCAGCTGCAGCCCACAGGAAAGACCGCAGTAGCGATTTGATTACTGTTGTCTATCAGATGCTCTGTGAGCTTCACAAAGGAGAACTTAAGAGTCCAATGAGAAAATTCGTTATTGTGTCACCAGCGGTGAAGCCTGTCAAGGTGACTGATTGTCACTCTTCTTTTGTTCTGTTCCATGAAATCTTATTGCCCCCTACTAAAGTCAACCGTTGCGAGAAACATTAAGTTGGAGAACGGAAAGGTTGTCAATCTGCCAAAGTGCAGACTGACAGAACGGATTGATGAAGTTTACATAAACCACTGCTGGTACTTTTCCAGGTTGACGCTCTGGTCTGCGCCCACTGCTTCCAGTACGTGGGGTCAATAGAGCTGCAGATTGGGAGGCGGTTATCGCTGAACCAGCCACAGGCCAGCGGCAGGCCAGCAGAAACTCCCGAAGCAGAAACTCTGGACTTGGACAAGCGAAGCGGAAGCGAAGCATCAGATGATGAGGTCACGGGAAGCGGCCAAGGTACAAACGGGTTTGGGTCTAGAGAGGTCACGGGAAGCGGCCAAGGTACAAACGGGTTTGGGTCTAGAGAGGCAATTGATAAAGTAAACGGGTTAGAAACTGAGTTAGATGAAGAAGGGGAACACTACTGTGAGGTGGACGAGTCCGATGATGAACGGATCCCTGCGCCCCCGGAAACAGTCACGGCGCTTCTGGACGGAACTCTAAAGCTTCCGCTAAGCGAGCAGATCCCGCTGCCTGCGGTTGTGGAATGTCTAGGGGGCTGCTCCGAAAACGTGTACTGCAGCGACACGTGCGCATCCATAAGCTGGGAGGCGCACCATAAGCTATTGTGCGCGGGACCAAGAAGCGAGGCGGCAGACACAGAAGCTCTGCGAGGCTTCCGGGACTTTGCAGATGGGAGCAATAACATCTTCCACGCAGCTGCGCAAGTGGTTGCAGCAACAGTGCTTCGGGCGAGGAAGGTAGGGGCCCCAATAATACCCGAGCATCTGGCTGGGGGGGTCGGGATCGGCAGCGAGGGAAGGGGAAGGCGCAGAAGTTCCCGAGCGGTTACAGGGGGGAGAGCATCCGAAGGGGGGGACGAAATCAGGTTCTGTGTCTGAGCTGAGAGGTGATACAACGGAAGCAAATGGAATTGCAGAACCACTAGCAGTGGAGCCAAACGGCTTGCGGAGTAACAGTGATGGGATGCAAAGCCAAATGTCCATAGAACCTTCTCAGCAACCTGGCACACAAACCCCAAACAGCTTAGAGTTAAGCAACGGTTTGAATCAACCACTTTTGAGCAGCAGCGATTTGGACGCCCTCTTGAGAGCGTGGGAGCCCTTTTCCATGGGGTGGAAAGGGGTCTGGTGGGAGTCAGTAGCGTGCCCCCCCGAAATGGAGGGCCGGCCGGAGGAGGAGGCGGAGTTCCGGGCGTCGATACGGGAGCTGTGCGACGGGTCGCTGCAGCTGCTGCGGGCGGCGTTCGGGCGCGAGGCAGAGACATATCGTCCGCTCTTCTCTCTCGAAGTGAGTTTCCGGAGCATATGGAATACGAAGAGCGCTTTGGCCGCATTGTGTTGGTTATTGAAGAGACCTTCTTGTCGATATCCGTGCGGCTTTGCTCTGAGCTGCTGTGAGCACCGTCTCAACGTGACGTACCATCCGCTTTCGCCAAAAAGCGCACGAAAATGGTTGAAGAGAAGTATCTGAGGATACATCGTGGTTACCTAGTTTGAGTTATCTTATCCAGGTTCCCTCTTTTTCGGTCACCTCAATTTGCCGTGAAGGTCAAGTGAGGCGATCGTATCTCGAAAGAGACAAGAATTTTGAGAAAGAAGTAAGTTGTTCCTTGATATCATTTTCGTGTTCGGGACTGAGCATTGTTTGCGAAGCAGTTGCAACATTCATGGCAAAACACGTTCTGCAAAATGCCCGATACTCATTTGATAATGGGCCACTTCGCAGAATTTTGCCATCCGTTTTGGTTCTGAGCAATATCAGGGCGCCAAGCACAAGAACCCAATCTGCTCCTGTTTCGAAACGGGTCTGAGTGGCCCAGATGCACCTTTCTCTTTGAGACAGAAATCAGAAGCTTCTGGCGAGTCACTTGCTACGTCCCTGTGACATGCGTCGCTTCGAGATTGACGTCTTAGCCGCCTTTCGGCGAATCTCCTGGAATGCAGACCTTGAGACGAGTTCGTTCATTCTTGCTTTCCTTTCCTCGAATGTGATTTTGCTTCTTCGATCACTCGAACTCAACAATCTGGCCGGCTCTTGTTACTCTGCTGTCGTAGGACATCTCTCCAGTCTGATTGATGGTTACCATCTTCTGACCACCTACTTCTTTTTTCGCATGGGTTTCCTTCTACCTTGTCCGCTAGTTTGACCTTAACAGCGAAGACACGGCTTCACAGCAGCCTGTTCCCACTGTCTGATCACAAGTGTTTCCCATCGGAAACCTTCTCCAATGGGTTTACGCACGGGGGCATCCTCAAGCGTCGATTTCCCGTCCCCGCCGATTCTACTCTTATCGTTAGGATGTCCGAGCTCAGAAGTCTACCTTTCGTCTAACCTATCCACATCTGCCTTTCGTCTAACCTATCCACATCTGCCTTACCCATCTTCTGGTCTCAGACCTTTGATAACCCGCAGGCAGATCGTAATCCGTTTCTTCACCTTCGTTCGTTCTTAAACCCAGGCTTACTCCCACATTGTTTTGCAAGTCAGCTAACCCGAATCGCTTCTACCTTCACCTGAATTCTAACCCTCATCCGATCCCAAACCCAGGTTTACTCCCGCATCATCGGGATGTCCCGCAAGTCGGCTAACCCGATTCCCATCTGCCTTAACCTGGATCCTAACCCTTATCCGTCCAAACCCAGGTCTACTCCCGCATCATCGGCATGTTCGAGCTGAACAATCTGGCGCTCGTGGTCCAGTCTCCGGTCGAGAACTACTTCCTGGCGATTGATGAGCTTTCTGAAGACGAGAAGCGGAAAGTAGAACCGGTCACCAAGCCCCTCCTAGACGCGCTTGGGCGCAGCTACTCGGCGCACTGCGAAGGGACCGCTTTCTACATGTTACAGGTGCGGTTTTTTTGGGCGGACCTTCGATTCTTGCTTTCTTGGACCAAGGGCTCACTTCCATATTGACAAGATGCTTGACTCAACGCACAAATTCTGTCTCGCATGCTCTTGAACTCCCTGTTGTTTATAGAAGTTCAGGAGCTTGGTCAAAGCACGAAGGCAGTACTTTTTTTATTTTTGCCGCAGCGAAGCTAAATAATAAAAAACGACCGAACACAGCACAAAATTACTAGTAGAACGCATAAAGTAGAAGGTGGTAATCTTTTAAGGTGACCCCCCACCTCTTTGAGCAGTACAATATAGAGCACCCCAGCCCCAAAAGCGCACTTCAAAGTTTATCTTTTTGGAAAGAAAATGGGGGGGTAGTGCCCCCATTTCTTCGCTGGGGGTAAAAGTGTTCTATTTTTCTCTTCGCTCCACTTCCTATCGGGAGCAATTATCGTACGGCGATAATCGTTGCCTTGGTCATTTCGCATCTTGTGTTTCCTGCGACATGATTTCTATTTCGGAGGTTTGTGCTGGTCCTAGTGACGGGGTGTCGTGCGTACCCAGTGCACGCTGAGACTGGTGCGCCTAATTCCGGGCGATTTCAATTTCGGACGGGCAAACCCCAAATCTAATTTCGGACTCAGTTGACCCAGTCTGCGGCTGCTCGTGCGTCGGTTCTTGACGTCGCGTTTCAAAGTACCATCAGTAGACGAGCCGCGCGCGACAGCGCTACACACACGCACGTGCGGCGGCAGACTGCGTCAGATAGTCCGAACTTGAAAGTCGGATTTGCCCGTCCGAAATCGACATCGTCCGCAATTGGGCGCACCGGTTGACGGCCAGCGTGCCGGCTTCAAAAGCGACCCTTCGATAAAACCTACCAAACCAGTGGGCACTCTTGTGATTCCGGAGCGCCAGTCGTGAGCCGAGACTGTGGTTTGTCAGAGCCCTTGGGTAGCCTTCCCTTGCTGTTGACTCGAAATTGCTTTCAAGATTCTGAGAAGCTCAACCTCGCAACCCTGAGCCTTGACCCAACTTGTCTGATGGAGGAAGCTGTGACTCCATGTAAGGCACGCGCTGTCACAGAGTTTTGGCAACCATTTCGTCGGAAAGAATACAACAAACGTTGTTCTGAAGGGAGAGTCCAACCGAACGCCTGCCTGCCTGCAGAGCTGCGCCAACCACTCGTGCGCCCCAAACGCGCGCGCATTCAAGCGGGAACAGGATGTCAACGGGCATGCGGTGCTGCTGGCGAACCGGCGCATCGAGGTCGGGGAAGAGGTACGCACACTTGTCATCTTCGACCTCTTACAGAGGTTTTCTTTTTCCTCTGTTTTGTATGAGTTTAACCTGACGTGTCTTCGACCTGGTAGTGGCATCATCACATGTGAAAATTGCCGCTGTAACTTCAGTCGTAATCACGTGAATGCTCGTACGGGAAGTTGAAGCGTCTTTGGAAGGTCTAACCCCCACCTGAGAATCAGGGGCTATCGTGGACAGTGGCTCATTTGCTCAGTCTGACAGCTTGTTGCTTGTGATCGAAGATCGTTTTCCCAGGCATTCAGTAGCTTCGACGCAGTCGGGATTTGGCAAGCAACGTTTTCATAGACGCTGCAATTTTTTTCCGGAGGGACCGGGGAATGACAGTGGTCGGTCTCTAGTCCAGCGACTCGAGGTTGCTTTGTCAAAGTTAGCTTGTCTTTGTCCTTTCTGAGAACGGGGGCTCAGCACACGTGATGATCTCCCACCCAGATCGTGGGGTCTGTTTGTAGGGACTTCTAGACTCTTTTAACCCAGAGTCCTCTCTCCTACAGAGCACAAATGCTGGCGCGATGCTAAATCGGCATTTGTCGCCACAAGCAACGAACTGATAGTTTTTTGCGTGGCTGCAGGTTACAATATCGTACATAGACGAAAGTGACAGTTACATCGACCGCCAAAGAGCCCTTGCAGATTACGGCTTTGTGTGTCGTTGTTTGAGGTGCTTAACAGACTCACTCAATGACTGACACTTTACTTTTTCATGAAAGACTGCCCCGGCTCATTGGTGTTATCATGCACGCTGCGGAAGTATGCTTCTACGTTACCACGGCATAGCTGCTCTCCACTAATATTTGGAAGTTCCACTGATTCGTCACCAGTCTGTGTATTCACCAAGTTAGCACAATATCATGGTGTTGGTTGTTCATAGCTTGATATGTTTCTTGTACAAACGCTACGAATACAGGTTAAAGCGTATGAAGATCGCAACGTCTTGGGTCAAATGCTAACCGTTTTTCCGATTGCGGGGCTGCGGTTAAGAAAATGAGTCTCGTTTATGGTGCACCGGTGCTTTGATCGAACCAACGATATTGCCCTATATGAAACAGCCAACATCCAGCGTGTTGATCTGCGGAAGAAGCATCACAATTACTCGAGGCAACCTTGGTCGAAAAAACATAAGTCCGCATCATGATAATCATTGGAAGTTGCTGTAAGTTTGGTTGCGCTGGCTTGTAAGCATAAAAGTCTGATCGACCTAAGCATTGTCTGCTCAGAGTACATATAAAGCACGGGCTAGAGCTTGTGCATGATCACGATCGTCTGGCACATGGCAGCACCATACACAAGCGGCATGCACTCCTCAGCCGGGACGGGTCCGATCTCCCGGACTTGATGTCCGCGGACGATGAGGATGATGAGAAGACAGATTGGGGCTTGGGGGGGCGAGATGATCTTACGCCTGAGCAAAAACAGGCTCTGGAGGACTTGCTGGACGAGTTTCGTGACGTGCAAGCATTT